GCCGCGGGCCTGAGCGCAAAGTTCGCGGCGGCGGCCAGCAGCGCAGGTGGGCCCGCGCCCTCGTCCAGGCAAGATGCCTCTGGGGCTGTGGAGAAAGAAGACCAAGTCCAAGGAGACCGTCCAGCTGGTGAAGAGCGAGCAGGCGGGCGCGGGCAGCCGGAGCCTCCCGGACCCCCTGGTTCCCGCACGCAGGCTGGTGTTCCACACGCAGCTGGCGCACGGCAGCGCCACGGGCCGCGTGGAGGACTTCTCCAGTATCCGGGAGCTCTACGCCAAGATCGCGGGCGCGTTTGAGATCTCGCCGTCGGAGGTAAGCAAGGGGCCGGGTGTTCAGCCTCTCCCGCCCTCTCCCCGCCTCTCCGCCGCGCGGGCTTCAATTTGCGCAGGCTGGAGGAGCGGCGCTTCCCTGAGCCAGAAGTCTGATGCGGGGTGGAGCCCGCCGGGAGCGCACCCCGGGAAGTGAGTGGGCCTTACTGGGAAGGAAAAAGGTAAATCCCAGGACCGGAGAAAGTTATATTCCCCTATGCTCGGAGATCCGGCCTGTGAGGAGCTGGGGGCGAGGCCGCCTTTCTTCCTCATGCAGATGGGTTTGCTCCGGATGTCCCACATTCAGCCGTTCAGGGCGTGAGCACCTTTTCAGAGTCGAGATCTGTCTGGGCGAATTAATGTCCTCCACCTCATCTGGACTTTACTCTCCTGTTTATTCCGCAGGCGTAAGAGAGTCACGCTGGGCATCCCCCCAGATAAAGGGAGAGAAAGTTGAAGTTCCTTCCAGGTGATACCAAACTGAGACCCACTTTGCCCGTCATCTGTCATTTCCAGCATCAACACTAGAAACTCTTTGGTATTTCCAAGGAGTTTACTCCAACGGTGGATAATTTAGAGATTCATACTTTGACAAGTTAACAAAATTTTCATGAAAGATTAGCTCTTAACTTTTACATCATATCCTTAAAAAGGGACTGAAATTTGCTTTAATTACATTGCGCGCGTGCCTGGAACTGGAGTTTGATATAGGTGTGATCTTGAAAGCACTAGATTAGGTGGTCGTTTATGTGACCTAGTGAACTGCATATGTAGATGTGAGAAGTTAGGTCAAGAGAATATTTTTGTGTTTCTAGGAAAAGCACGCGGTTTCATTGCCCTAGACTCTTGGGACTGCAAAACTGCCTTTGAATGGCATGGAGCGCATCTGGATATCTGTTCTTTAATTAGTTTGTCAGTACTGTTCAAGCGAAATTGAGGTCAAGGCAAAATTCAAAGAAGAGATGAAAGAGAGCTTAAAGTGTAACCCTTTTGTTCTTTAAGGGTTCCCAGGTAATAAGGAGCAATTCACAACTCTTTTGTCAATTATTTATGTTGATATAGGATGATAACTTACGTGGTATGGAACTTTTCAATTCGAAAAATACTTTCACAGGAACAATTTTTTCCGTGTTTTCTGGGGGAGGTAGGTGGCAGGTTAAGTCCATAAACTCGCCATTTACAGGCTGTCTTGGCCTTGAACAAGTTTAACTTCTCTGTTTCAGCCACCTATAAAATAGAAATAAGAATATCTTCCTTGAAAAAGGTATTGTAAAGATCGAGTTCATATGTAAACCTGTAGGTTTGGGTGGTATATGGTCAGTGCTTAATAAATTGTAACTAATTTTATTAATACCTCACAGTTAAAGGAGAAGCTGAGGTGCAAAGTGATTGGGTCTTGGCCAGGATCCCATAGCTAGCATGAAAAAAAGCTGGGCTGAAAACTGGGATCTTCTGATTTCTAAGTGAGTGAGCTTGTTAGCATACTTAACTGACAACTTTAAATGTCTCTCCTGTAACCAGGGTCTCCAGTTTCAGTTACTTTGCGTTAACAGTTTTTCTCATCATTATGACATTATTCTGAGCTCAAGATAGTGATTTTACTCAGACCACTTAATCCTTAATAAGTATTATTAATATCACTGCTTCAGAGAGAGGAAACTGAGGCTTTGAGGTTCAGAACTTTTATTTTTATTTTTATTTTTTTTATTTTTTAAAGGTTCAGAACTTTTAAAGAAAATTACACATAGTAAATGGCAGAGCCTGCATTTAAACCCACTTTTTTTCCTGACTCCAAATTTCATGAATCTATATTGCTTCCCAAGTTTTCCAGAGTCTCTCAGCAACAGCTTGGCAGCCACATTCAACATTTTCAGTTTCCATTTCACTGACTTGCACAATAAAATTCCAAGATAATAAACATAAAGTGTTTTCATGTGCTATATCAAAGTTCATAAATAAGTTTTTATAACCCTAATATATGTATATTAGCATGTTTATGCATATAACCAACATTAATACAAGTTGGCTGTCTGGATTAAAGAGAGTGTATGAATATATACAGGATAGAGTATTGGTCATTAGAGTATAGTCTGTCCTAAGTATTTAAATAGTTCATTTTGAAATAGAAGTAACTTATTAAAATCAACTTTACGGAGATTCCATCATCTATCCCATTCCCCCAGCAAAGGGAAGAGTGGGATAAACAATTCTTCATGTCAGTGGGGACAAAAAAACAATCAAACAACAACAAAAAAACCCCTTCCCCCCACTTAGTAGGAATGAATAGATAGTTATAACTCAGAAGTCCTTTTCTCTAGAGAAGCGGCTATGAGGACATAAATACTACAGCGTAAAGAGCTGTACACTCTCTACTGAGGAGAAAAGGAAATGACTTGATGTCAGGTGGAGCAGATTCGGGCAAACTCACTGTGGGAGCCCATAATGTGCCCACAACTGTGCAAGGTATTTAAGTCTATAATGACATCACTCCATCCTCACCGTTTTTATATTTCAGTTGAGAAAAGTGAGGCTCTGAGGAGATAAGCAGCTTGCCCAGAGTCACTGGGCTGGTGTGGTGCTACTCGACTAATGTCGGAATCCTACCAACGTCGCCAATTTTAGACCTCTTAATCCTATTGGTGATGCCAATTGTGAAGCTCTTTTACCTGCCCGTAATCCGGCACTGACTGGGCCAATTGTCGAGCTAGGGCTGGGTCTGGAGCTCACAGATCCCTCAAGCCCGTTCCAGACTGGGTTGTGAACCCTTCAAGTGCCAGGCTGGGTCACCAGACCCCCTCACACGCAGGTCTGTGAGCTAGGTAACCGGCAAACAGGTCCTTGGAAGCTGTAGGTTGGAAAACATGGCTGTGCGTGGCAGTGGCCACCTGAGACAGATGCCAGCAAAGCCTGTACTGTGCATGTGCACCAACTCCACGCCCCCCAATTTGTTTACTGAACCACCCCCAACCGGCCCTGAGGCCAGGGGACCTGATTAAATTATTCTGTTTTCCTAACAATCCACCCCTTCAGGGTCCCTCACTGTACAATCTACGCGTTCAGAACATTCAGAATCTTCCACGATGGTCCCTTAGCGAGGATAAATAACCCTTACATTTATATAACCTATTGTCCCTTCAATATGCCTTAAGGCTTGCAGTTCTGTCCTTTTAACTGTTAGCCACATATGTCCTGTTAGTAGTCACCACTGGTGTGATCCTCCATGGGAATCCTGCAGTCATACTGATGGGCAGTTCAATGCATATTCAGCAGGCCGACACATTGATCACACAACCCTGGTGCAGTGCCTGCAGCCAGAACCCTATGGGCAAAAAGACAGAAGGATTATTGGTACCAATAAGGAAAGTTCTCGGCCATCTGGCAAGATACATGCCAGTTTGCCATCCTGAGAAAGGATGGTTGCAGGAATAGGTATCTTACCTGGCTTATGATACCAAGCTTTATCTGCTAACACTGTTGGATATGTAGGTTCTACATGTAACAGTATAGGGGAACTCATATTTGGCCATAATGATAATACAAATGTGCCCTTTGGCACAGAGCGCTTATCTGTTCCAGGCCATGTTACCTTTATTCGAGGAGGCCAGGTACTTTCACCCAAGGTGAAACTTGTAAGACTTCCTCTAATCTTTTTCCCCAGGGCCCTATCAGACCTACCCAGCGTATATGGGGGGCTTTTATTCTCCAAGGGTATTCTCATTGTACTGTCTATCCCTGTTGCAAACAAGTTGGGGCTGGTAAGAGAATATTTCCATTCTTGCCATATCCTGGCTTCAAAAGCTTATCCTTAGTAGTGATTTGTAACTGTAGGTGCTGCAGCCCTATGCGACAGAGCTTCCACTGGAGAGGGTTCGCCCTTGCAGGGTCTCTCATTTAGAATTCTGACTGTCCACCGGTCAGGGGTGGGGGTTGGGTAGATAGCCTTAGTCCCTTTTTAAAAAGACCATTGTACTGTTCAGTCATTCCTGCTGCCTGGGGATGATATAGCACATGTAACTTCCACTGGATGGACAGCTGGGAGGCCCACCTCTGAACTCCATGTCCAGTAAACAGGGTTCCATTATCACTCTCTATAAGTACAGGCCAGCCATACATAGCAGTTCAGTGCCTTCACAGTGTTTACCTGGTCTGGGGCCTTACAAGGCCATACAAACAGAAGACTGGTAGCCATATCAACAGCTGTGAAGATGTATCTGAAATTCTCTGAACTTGGCAGTGATCCAACAAAGTCCACTTGCCATCGAGTCAGGGGCACCCTTCCTCGAGTTATTTGCCCATCTGTATGGGGCACCCGCTGGGGGTGTGGACTCTCTTGAGCATACACTGGAGAAGCACGACAGGCATTCACTGCATCTTCCCATTTTATAGGCAAGGCCCATCTTTGAGCCACCATCCACATGGTGTTACTGCCAGCATGCTGCATTTGTCAATGTAAACACTGGGCTACATCAGTAGCTGGGGCTCTCTCCAGCCATCTTACCTTAGCCAAGGCATCGGCTTCATCATTTCCTGGACTGGCTAAGGGGAAGTGTCCTGTGACATGGAAAAGAGTTACTTCTTTCTCATGTTCCAATTCCCATAACTCTTGCCACATGGCTTGTCTCCACAAGGGCTGGTGGCCTACCATCCACAGTTGATACATCCTAGTAGACATCCAAAGGGTTAAACCTTTGTACACAGCCCAGCTGTCAGGACAGACGGTTAATGGCCCAGGCTTCTTTATCACCATCCATTC